AATCAGCCACAGATGTACGTCCAATTATATTTTTCTGACTGTTTCATTACAATCTGCCCTGCGATTCATGAGATATTTTACTTACAGATGGAAAAATAAATGCACACATTCATAATTTCACCATCAGGGATGCTAAGTGGATCAGTGATTCCTCCAGATTGGTCTTGCGGTGGTAATCAAATCAATATGTTTAATATAAAGTTAGAACGAGTCTTTGGGTGACTTTTATTTAAATAAGGACACCCAATACTATGGTTAATTATGAGTAATGTGTTTTTATGGATTATTGTTGCTGCATAAAAATAATTTAAATGCCTCATTTAATCTATACTTTTAAAAAAGACTAGGTCAAAATCCTTGTGTGCTTTTTACAGTATACGAGTCAGCAAAACTAAACTATTGTCCTCACAGGGAGGGAAACGATTAAAAATGAAATAGAATAAAATAAATATGTGAAAGATTTTGCAGATACCATTTGCTGTTAAAGTCAAACTTAAAGTCAACACTGCACATATAGAATAAGATATAATTAAAAACACTTTAATTGTAAATTTCTCAATATGAATGGAACAACTGAGTCCAGCAGGGATAAGGTGAAAGTGCCTTGTTAGGGCACAAGATCGATAATATGGACACTGTAAGGACTGCACAAGTTACAAAGTGTCAGCAGGCTCTTGAACTACATCAGCTCTTTTGTTCACATTACTCTAATTGGGGAAGTCAATTAACCACTACAGTGGCTTCACTGTCAAATCAGCACTTCACCGAATCACTTAGTACTTGGAAAGTATAAAACTTTAGAACTGTTTTTCTTGTCTGCAAACTTAAAATGGAGGTATTTTGAAAAAGAGATGCATGTTTTTTTCTTTCAGCTGCTCCTTTCTGCAGGGGCAATTTTATTTCTCTGGATACCCCTCCTGATGCAACCTGAGCTCAAACCTGCAGCCTCAGGATTATAAAAAGGCACTCATGGAGCTACTACAGCCCGATTCTTTAAGAGGAACGATCTGCATAAATTATGTACTGAAAAAATCCGATATGTGCGCCTGTTTTAAGATCTTGAATGTTGGGATTATTTCATTTTTGTTTATTAGGACAAACAAAAAGTTCCTAAAATCTGTTTCCTTCCATCCGTTCATCCATTATGAATTTTTGGTTGTTAGTGTATTTGATTGTTTGTGTTTTTTATTTCTTGCATTCAGAGTATTTTTGGGTATTTGTTGCACTTTGTGCGCTCTCATTAAAAGCTTCTTTCTTTGTGTTTCCCTGCTCATTGTCTCATAGTCCTTCTTTTTGCTGCTCTTTTTTTTTTTTTTTACAGCTGTCCCTCATCAGTGAATCAGCTGACTCATTCGGTAACCACTCTCCGCAGTACTTATGCCAATTTTCTCTTCAGCTCCTTTTCATAGTTTTCATTCTCCACAAATTACATAAAATATAAGCTAAAGTGACAACCAGTGAAAAACTTGAGCAAGTGTTTGTGGATGTGATCTCTATGTAAATGCATATATTGTATACATACTGGTATATAATCTGAGATTATATTAACACTACAAATTTACATTAAACATTTAAATGCACATACCATATTTTTCTGACTATAAGGCACACTTAAAATACTTAAATTTTCTCAAAAATCAACTGTGAGCCTTATAATCCGGTGCGCCTTATGTATTAATTCTGGTTGTGCTTTCTGACCTCAAAGTGATTTTATGTGGCACACGGCTCAAAAAAATCTGTCAAAATGTTTTAGTTTCACTTAATGTGCCTTATGTATGAAAACAGACCCATTCATTGATATTGCGCCTTATAGTCTGAAAAATACGGTACACATAATTGCATACATACAGACTGTACATACATTGCATTTATATTTACACGCACACACCTGCCTTTATACAAGCATACATACATAAAGCATGTTCCCTGTTAAATGTTCATACTGACACGTTGCCAAACCAGCCGTGAAAAAATCTTCACCGTGTTTTGGGTCTGCCCTAAAGCATCTTTCCAGGACATGTTTGAGACATTTATAAGAGGGAGGCATTCTCAACAGACTCCTAAACTATCTTGACTGAATCTTTATGAAAGGGATGGACGGGCAGCAGGTCTACCGCGAGCCTCTCCTGAATGGTGAAACTTTTTTTCTCTTCTCACCTCATGGTAAGCCCACAGCTTCCCATTCAAGGAAGCTTATTTCATTTGCACCCTCATTCTTTTTTCATTCATTCAACCTTTATTTAAGCAGATAAATCACATTGAGTCTCGAAGACTCATTTACAAGTGAGACCTGTTTGGACAGACAAAAACAGTGGATAACTGGACACATGTAGGAGTTGGAGGCAAAAAAAATTCCTATCAGACTTTTTTCTTGGCTGAGAAAAACCTCTAATATTGAAAAAACACCTCGCACAAACAAGCACATATTTACGAAGACATTCTGCAAATGGAGACGAGAGCTGTCAACAACGCTTATAGATGCTCTCGAGGTCACTGTAATCAGTCAATGTCCTCCGGTGAGATCCATAAACATTCTCGAGGTATGTCGAGAAATGGCCAAGAATAACCTCTATGAGAATCCAGAGTCCTGAAATGATGACACAAAGTTTTTCCAGCGAAGTTTCATCTGGTTGTCAGTTGGAAATTCCTCAGGGAGGGGGTGGTGAGCGTCAGATCACATTTTCTCCAGGCGACTTTAGATAAGATGGCCTTCAAGGACAACCAAGGCGAACAAAATTTAGATAAACACACAGTTGTTTTGGGGACAGGCAGAACTTAATGACATCAACCTTCAGTCTGTGTCGGTCTACTTGGTTCCGAAATGTCCAAATTAACAGGGCCAACACCGATGGAAACGTGTCTGAGTAAAAAATCCCCAAGATCTGATCCATTCAGCCCAAAGCATTTGAGTCCGGGTACTCCAGACATGAACCAAGCCATCAAAAAGGCAAGCAGCGTGATTGTGTCCAAATTTGCTGCTGACGACTTCCTTGATTGTAGATAAAACCAGCACCAGCTGAATCCAAAAAGCAGGAACCAGTTATCGAAAATCCTTCAAATTCTTTCAATAGTTTCAAATCATTAGCTTCACTTTGCAGCTCAGCTACTTATTTTACCCTTAGGGCACCCATACTGTATCTAGTGAAATATTATACACCACATGTGAAGGACCATGCCACATTAGGCAGCAGCTTAACCTGACTTTGGCAATCCACTCATTCCAACACCCACCACGGCAAGTCTGTCTTATAACCAGCTCTGCAAAACAAGCTCCCTATCTATGCAGTGAATACGAATCAAGAAAAAGATTAGCTGCTGATTCCCTCAGTGATAGCTACGATACTGTGAAACAACTGGTACTGGTACTGGTACACAAAAGCTGAAAGTGTTGTTTCCAACGGTCAGCTTGGAAATTATTTGATTGTATTTTCTACATTCATATTAAGTCATCAAACATCAATTTTGTCCTTATTAACATCCTTTACTCTCTTTTCTTATTTGGGTCATGAGTGAGCTGGTATCTGTCTTCAGCAGTTGTGCGAGAGACACCCCGGACAGGTTACAACTCCATCACAGGGCCATGTAGAGACAAACTCCCATTCACACTCTCACTCACACCTAGGGCCAAATGTAGAATTTCCAAATAACATCCATGTTTTTGTGAAACTGGAGTACCTGGAGAAAACCTACAAGAGCACGGGGATAACGTGTAACGCAAACCTGCGACCTTCTAGACGACAGTTTGCCCCAGTGCCTCCAGCTGTCTCCTGATCAGCTAAGAGGCTCAGGACTGCCGAACTAGTTAAAAGTTAAAGTAAGTTTGTTGCTGTGGAAATTAATTTTCCACCAGATTTCTTAATTGAAATCATATTTCCTTAGTTTTATTTATTTCTTCTCCAGCATCATAATTTTATTTTATTTTTTTTACAGGTTTTAGATTTATTTTTGATTGTTGTGCATTTTAAGCTGAAAATTTTAAGGTAAATAATTTGAAAAACTACAATTTACTTTTTGCTGGTGATTCTCAGTCATCCAGGACATGGTAAATCCAACAAATGTTAAAAACAAAACAACTGGACTTTATTTGTAACTGAAGACGTTTCGCTTCTCATCCGAGGAGCTAATTGTTTCTTTGAATTGAGAAAGCTCCTGGGATGAGAAGCGATCGTCTTCAGTTACAAATAAAGTCCAATTGTTTTGTTTATAACATTTTTTTTTAATTTACATTTATGTACTTTTGTAAATATTTAGCATACACAAAAGAGCTTATAGTAAAACAGTACATTTTGCAAAAGGATATTAAAATTTACATGCCAATAATGATTGCAAATATTCAAAGAACATCAATGAATACATAGTACAGAGGGAATAATGATGTTATTCAGAAAGTTTAAAATTAAAATAACAAAAACTTTATTTTTTTCCTTTCACAATAAATGTTTTGCCAGCATTATTGAATTCAGCTAATAATCTTGATTTTCCTTGAAATTATTTCGAATGAACATGATGGATGAATGATGTGATTATAGTAATAGTCACTGCGCAGTCTCAGAAGAAGCTTTGAGCTGAGTGTTGCATTCGTGACACCTCGGAAATGAATTGAGTTTAGAAACTCAGTCTTGCTATTTTGTTCTCTCTTTTTCTGTCGATTCTCTTTTCTATGATCTTCAGTGTTGAAATAACAAAGTGACACTTTACAGTTGAACTACGTATTTTGTTATAAATTAACTCAATAATTATTTTTCTGAAAAATATTTTGTTTACTTGGGATAACATTTTAACGATGAAAAATGATGACCCCGTGATCCAAAGTGGAAGAAGCGGGTAAATGATAATGGATGGATGGATGAATGGAAAAAGGATGACATATTTTTTTTTTTTTACCAAAATACATAAAAGCAACATCTACATGAGAGCGGTGGTGGTTGGAATTCCCAGTTGACCGGTGTACCATAAACGTCTCACAGTGTCAGCGGAAGTAGTTATTTGACGTCAGTTTGCGTCCTGTCGGGCGGGATAGCTCTGAACACAGAGCAGAAAATAGAGCATTAAACTTTTCCAGATTTCTGAACTTTATCTCCTAGATATGGCCCATCAAATTGAAGAGAATTTACCGCCTAGCCTAGCGTGTCTGAAAGTAAGTCATCACCATATTTATGTTGGAATGTACGGCTTTTGTTTTGCTTACAAGCTTAGCCCACAGCTAAGCTAATCGTGTGAAGATAAAAACAGTCCAAGAAATTAAAAACGGTCAGTCTAGATGTTTGGACTGTAACTATATGGTCTTCAGGTCTATGATGCTGATGCTTATTTTTGTGTGGGACTTTATATAATCTAATAAAGCTGTGATTAGAGCAACAACTTAAACGTTAATATTCCATTTTAATTTGTTAATGCATTTACAACATGTTTAAATTTTATTTCCCCTCAACGTTTCCCCATCCCTTTGAATATCTGTGTGTGATTGAAAGATAAAATTGTAAAGTTGACTTGTAAACATTTTATATATTAAAAAAAAAAAACCTCAGTAAACTAATTGTCATTCCTTAAAGACAATGTCCATGCCAGTTTGTTTCTACAGCACATAAAAAACGACAAAAACTAGTTGAGCAAAGTGCTTTACTAGTCAAGTAAAAATTATATAAAAATTTATATTAAATATAATAGATATAAACAAAACAAATACAGAAAAATATATAAAACCAGCTAAAACAAGAAAACACCACAACATCCAAAAGCCAGCAACATAAAGAAGTGAGTCTTTGGTTTCTAAAGTTGGGGTCAAGACCCCACTGAGGGTATTACAACTCCATGTCGGTTCTAAATGATCTCCAGAAATTATAATAAATGAATAATGCTAATGGCATGTTCTTACAGTAACTGACTGTCAGAAAGAATAAAAGCAGTCCTAAATAACAACAAGCTTGTTATGGCACGGTGGCACAGTTGGTAGAGCTGCTGCCTCTCAGCAAGCAGGTTTCCCTGGTTCAGATCCTAATCCGGGGGCCTTTCTGGGTGGAGTTTGCATGTTCTCTCCGTGCATGCAAAACCCATGCATGGGTTTTCAATCAATCAACTTTTATTTAGTCAGGTAAATCCCATTGAGCCTCGAGGACTCATTTACAAGAGAGACCTAATTTCAACAAAGAAAGATGACAACAATGGACAACAGCAACAACAATAAACAATTATAAAAAGTCATACTGCAGTTTTTTTTTTTTGTTTTTTTTTTTTACAAATAGGATGGCTAAAAGGAAAAGGTAACAACAACAAAAAAAAAAAAAACAGCTAGATTCTAAGGTGAATGTAGAAAACTAAAAACAGGAACATGTCTGCATTGGTCCCTGCCAGGAGTCCAACAGATTCTTAAAGCCACTTAGAGAGGTCAAGGTCGAGAGCTTCAAATCTTTTTGTAAGATATTCCAGGAAACAGGAGCGGAGTAGGAGAAGGCCCTTTTGCCTAGTTCAGTCCTCATTGAGGGAACACTGCAGGTAATAATGTCCTGAGAGCGCACGCTGTAGCTGCACTCACGCAGAGACATGTAGGTGGAGATGTATGAAGGCAGCAGACCAAGAAGTGATTTAAAGATGAAAATGTACCAGTGAGAGAGTCTGCGTGAAGTTAATGATGTCCAGTTAACCAGTGAATACAGGGTGCAGTGGTGGGTACGATAATCACAGGTTTCCTCCTGGTACTCCGGTGTCCTCCCCCAGACCCAACTCATGCATGTTAGGCTGATTGGGGACTCTGTACCTAGGTGTGAGAGAGAGAGTGAATGGTTGTTTGTCTCTTTGTGTCCCTGTGATGGAGGGTGTACCCGCCTCTCGCACATTGATAGCTGGACATGGGCACCAGTGACCCCTGCTACCCAAAAAGGATGAAGCGGGTAAAGATAATGGATGGATGTTATGGCTCTTTATGTTGTTGTCATAGGTTTTTAGCAACGTTGCGTTCATATTCCTCAACCATCAATAGTTGGGTCCACAAACCTCTGTCACTATGATTTTTTAAGCCAAAAGCTGAAAACTTTAGGAACTATTGGTATAAACTCTGCGGTGTTAAATCTCAAATGGCAGGTTGATTTTACAGTCTAGGAATGCCTCTGCTGAAGCTCGAGGCCCTCATCGTTTTTACTTTGACCTCAGCCGCACTGAGAGCATCTGGTAGGATGAGCTCAGTGTCAGTTTATTTATATAGCACATAAAAGCAGCAAAAGTTCACCAAAGAGCTTTACATTTTAGTCAAATTAAAATGAAAACGAGAAGAAGAAAAAATACAAGTCGTGATAAATCCATCGTCAAGAAATGGAAGGAATATGGGTCATGTGTAACTCTACCAAGAGCAGGCTGACCCCACAAACTCATGGCCACAAACTGAGTGACCGTGAAACACATGCATTGAGCTGAATTTAATCAAGAGTTATTAACAGCAAAAGAGAATACTAACATATTGATGAAAAAATGGTTTGTTGGTTTCATCAAGCTGTTTTTCTACAGATCATTGGAAACCATTTTAACAATCTTTTCAGGCATTTGTCTAATAATCACAATTATATTTATTATCACACAGTTGTTGCTGTTTAGATATACTGTTTTATTAAGGCCACACTTTTTCCATTATTATTTTAGGACGTTGTTTTACGCTTAGTGCTTTTCCTCCACAGAATGTCGATGCTTTGCTTCGGTGTCCGATTTGCTTCGACTTCCTCAACATTGCAATGATGACTAAGTGCTCACACAATTGTAAGTAACAAGCAAAGCTGTTATTTTTGCTTATAATTGTGATGCAAATAACAAGTTTGACAAAGCTCTGCGTGTGCGAAGGAGACCACTGAGTGAGTTGTATAGTCGTGAAAAAAATTGCGCTGTCATTCAGAAAACAGTTTGAGTCTTTTTGAAAGCAGCAGCAGAAAGTTGTGTGTTTAAACATGCATGGAGGTTTGCTCAGTTTTAGGGCACGGCAAAGGAAAAAGTACAACGAAACACAAGCATTCTGACAGCTGCTGGAAGAAGAAGCAGGATTTTTGTCAAAAGAGCTGTTCTTTCTGCTTAATTTATTTTAATTACCACACAGAACTCAACATTCTGTCAAGCTGTGGTCTCTGAGCTTAATTACAGTGCGTTAACTCAACCCAGCAATTTCTAGAAAAGTTGTGGCGAGCTTGCTGAAACTGCCTGCCCTTCAGTAGTCGATTAAAAGTTTAAGCTGAAACGATCAAAGTTTGTGTTTAAGATGAGAGAAGCTGCTGCTTCATCAAAAGTCCATTTGCTGCATGTCTCAAGGAGCAGTAGAGTGTTTTTCACTCAGGAGACTGAAACAGCATCTTTTTAGAGTAAAACCAGAAGTTCTGATGATGCAGATTTTCCACTGGGAGCATCACACTGGTCTGCACACCTCAGTTTGTTAGTGGTTCATTTGATGCACAAGGGAGTCATCAGAGGGAATTAAAGCAGAGATTATTTTGTTTTCAATACTCCTCTCAATTTTGCATTAGTCTTTTTTTAATTTTTTAGTATAAAAGTCATAGAGATTTAACAGTTTTTTTAATTTATTTTTTTACCTTTAAATCAGTCCAACTTCCTGCTGAAGCTTTACTGAGATTGTAAAACTTTGTAGTTGTTTTTGTTTTCTGCAGAGCTGTGTGAAACTGAAAAAAGAATACCACACAATACCATATATTTATAGAGCACTTTAAACACCCACAGGACCAAAGTGCTGTACGCATAATAAAACAATCAGACAAGAAAGAATGATTAAAATAATTAAAGGTCAACATTACAGATGGTGTCAAAGGCCAGGGAGTATAGGACCAGAGAATATTGCATTGTTATCAAAGTTCATGCTCAATAATCCAGGTATAAAATCCAACAAAGTTCAGTCAGGTCATCTGGACGGTTGCTTTTTTTGTTGTTGTTGAGACAATTCGTCCTTCATCCAAAGGACTTCATCAGTCTGATGAGCCACAACAAACTGACTTCCACAAGCAGCACACCCACATAGTGGACCAACCAGTTTGCTGGTGAGATGCTGCACTATGTGAACTATTTTTTGACCTCTCTAAGTGGTTTCAAACATCTGCTAAGTTCATGGCAAAACTGAATGCAGACATGTTCCTGTTTTTAGTATTTTTACATCGCTTTACAATGTAGCTGTTTTTTTATTTATTTTTTAAATATCCAACAAAGTTCAGTCAGATCGTCTGGACAGTTTCCAACTGTCTAACTTTTCCAACTTTTCTCCAGTTTCCAGTTACCAACCAGCAACTGGTTGGTCCACTGTAGGAGTGTACTGCTTAGTGGGGAAAACAGTTTGTTTGTGCCTGCTCAGACTGATGAAGCCCCTCGGATGGAGGGAGAACTGTCTCAACAAAAATAAAAAATTAACCGTACAGACGACCTGACTGGACTTTGTTGGATTTTCTCTCTGGATTATTGTGCATGAACTTTGATGTGGCTGCCTCGGAGGAGTCGACAGGGGAGAAGGTGGGCCCCAGAGACCATCTCATGTAACAGCAAACTGGTTGGTCCACTATAGGAGTGTGCTGCTTGTGGAACTCAGTTTGTTGTGGCTCCTCAGACTGATGAAGTCCTTTTGGATGAAGGATGAAATGTCTCAGCAACAACAACAAAAAATGAAACCGTCCAGATGACCTGACTGAACTTTGCTGGATTGCATTGCTATATTTTTCTACTATGTATTTTGAAAGAATATATAGATAATTTTTTACCATATGTCAGTGTCAATTTTATTCATGTAGCCCATTTAAAAACAACAATGTTGACCAAAGCACTTCACAAACAGGAAATCCTGAATGATGCATCATACAGTACACTGGCTAAAGCAGAGTTGTAAGAAAAACTTGTGTCCATTAACATTTTTACATTTGTATCAAATACAAAAAGAAAAGAAGTTAAACCATCAGTGTACACATATTGATAAACATCATTAACTGTTTCCCTATGTACAGTATAAAGTTATTTTCAAAAATGATCATTTTAATGTGAATTTCTTTCTAGACTTGAAACGTTGCTCCACATTTGAAAGGGAGATGCATGCTACTGCTTCACTCAGTCTGAACGAATCAGTGTAGTGTAACAAATGTAAAAACACTAAACAGAAGCTACTCTGACAGAACTGTAACTATTTCACAACCACTTGTCAGCGGTTCGACCGGCCCCAGGAGTTTTTGTGTAAATGTTTGTTTGTCTCCAAGTTTCCCTGTGATGGACTTACCACCTGTCCAGGGTGTCCCCCGCCTCTCACTCAGTGACTGCTGGAGACAAACACCAGCTCCCCTGTGCCAAAAAAAAAATAGATGGATGTTTTGTAAACAGGATTTTAATAAGTAGCATAAAATAGTAGGTTGAAACATATTTTAGGAATAAAATGTGCAACAGTTTGAGTTAAGTAGAAGATAAACTGCTTTTTGTTTCATCCTTCAGTTTGTTCTTTGTGCATCAGGAAGTTTCTTTCCTATAAGCTGCTGTGTCCAGTCTGCAATACAGTGAGTATGAGCACGATTTAGTGTAGCTCTATCTGCTAAACACGGAAATTATTAATCTAATGACGACACACTGAGGCAATTGGTCAGTTATTCTTGTATCAGCTGATTAAGTTTTTTTTATCAAGCGAATGTTCTTAACGTTGTTGCCTCTGCTTCATTTTTGCAATGATTTTTCTGATGTTTTGCTGATTTGTATCTAGTTAACTGAATAACCTTGAGTGTTGATAAAAATATATATATATTTTGTAGGAAAACTAATAAATGGATAGAATAAATCTGGAGGGATGCAAAGTAAAACATTTTCTAGGCTTATATTTTCTTTATTCCTCAGCAAATGACAGAGCAAGACCTAAGAAACAACCGCGTGTTGGATAACTTGGTTGAAAACTTTCGAATTGCAAGGTAACGCACACAAAACAAAACAAAACCTGACTCAGTTTGTTAAAACATTTCTTGGGTGTACATCCAGTTCACAGACCGGCAGAGTTATTGAGCTAGAATGAATGTTCAGATAGTTTTCACTGTTTTCCTTGTTAAATGTTGTAGAACGAGGGTGTGGAGAGCTTCTGCTTTGGGGAGAGGACTAAAAAAAACAACAGCACGTCTGGAAATAAGGCCGACTCCACCATGAACACAAATTCATCTCGTCAATAACTTTTTCCATTTATACGTTCATACTCTTAAGACCAGAAAAGAAAACTAATTACCGTGGTGATGTCATGGGCTCATGTTGTTATTGACCAGAGATCTGTCCGACCACGACGCAATATGTCTTTTTACTTCAACATACCAGAAGCATTTGAGGGAGAAATAAAACCCACAACTTCATAATTGCCTTTCAGTAATCTTTGGATTAACAGATTTACTGCAAATCAAACAGGGATTTACTTTTCATCAGATGAGGTCATTTGTTGTTCTCTAGAGTATAGTACTTGTGCTCATATTTGTGCGTTTTGTAGCTTTGGGGTTAAATTTTTCATTCAAGCGAAGGCACAGACTGGCTGCAGTGTCCAGAGCTGACCACGGACTCACCACAGCCCCACTTTTCTCATCCTCTGAGGATTTTAGTTTAAAACTGTGGCATGAACGGCAGGGGGCGACGTGCAATTCTTCAAGGAATGCTGGGAATTGGCTACCAATTGAATATCAAAGTTCATGCTCAATAATCCAGGTAAAAAAAAATCCAACAAAGTTAAGTCATGTCCTCTTGGCGGTTTCTTTTTGTTAAAATGCTTCGTCTTTCATCCAAAGGACTTCATCAGTCTGAGGAGCCACAACAAACTCAGTCCCCAGTGTTTCCCCTAGACAACTTGCCATGACGGGGTGCTCATCTCATCCATGATTTTTGTGGGGGTGGGGTGGAGACGGACTGAAACACGTCCTGATCAACAGTTTTCGAGTGCGGGGGGGGGGGGGGGGGGGGGGGGTGTGCATCTGTAGACGGGGTGCTCAGTTCTGTTGATGGGGCAGGGCGCCCCCCCCCCCGCTTGTATAATGGTAGGGGAAACTCTGGTCCCATAGGTAGCACCTTCACATAGTGGGCCAACCAGTTTGATGGTGATAAGATGGCTTCTGGAGTCCGCCCTCTCCCCCCGTCGACTCCTTGAACTTTCCGTTCGAGCATGAACTTTGATGTTTTGAACCACTTTAGCCATGGCTGCCTCAGAGGAGTTGATGGGGGAGAGGGCGGATTACAGAAACCATCTCATCATCATCAAATTGTTTGGCCCACTGTGAACGTGCTACTTATGGGACTAAGTTTGTTGTGGCTCCTTGGGCTGATGAAGTCCTTTTTATATGAAGGACGAAACGTTTCAAGAAAAACAAACTGTCCAGAAGACCTGATTGAACTTTGCTGTACCAGTTTAATACTTTTATCAGTCCAACAGCAAGTTTTATTTGTCTCCTCCATCAATCAGCATGCGTCATCAGCACTCTGAACGCTCTGCGTCAGTAGTGGACCCTCTGATTGTCATCACTGTTATGAAAAAGAGATTCACGCTGCTGTTCTGTCCTCCACTGTTTAATTTCCTTTTGTCAAGCCCTGAGCAACTGAGAGGAGAGAATCCCTTTATTATGAAGTGTTGTTTTACTCTAGAAATTAACTTATTGACAATTTTATCGGGCACAAGTCCTTTTAATCTAAATTCAACACATCATTCTATGTTTTATTTTTGGCCCGCATTAGTACCAGGTCTGTGTGCAGATCAGTTTTTGCGAAATTGTTTTAACTCCCTGGCCCCGTTGGTTGGTACAGTTTCTGCTATAACAGGTGTGTGTGGCCTCCATCACTGGGTCTCTCAGAGTAAAAAAAACCACTGCATCAGGCACCTTTTGGAAGATGGCGCTAATTCTCTGCCATTAAACCAGAGGTCTCTGTCTGTAGAAGCCATTAGCTGTTATCACAGAGCTGCGTTTTTATGTTGCCACAGCTGGTTCTTAGCGTGCCATTTCTGCTCACGCTCGTTTACTTTGGCAGGAGCTGAGCTTCAACACCGACATGCAGCACTTGTACATTTCAGCTCAAATATTTAATTCCCAAAGGCACAAGGCTGTTTTCTGTCCTAAACAGGCCTTTTAATGTGTTTTTTCTCCGAATTCACCCTAAAACAATAGTAGGATGTTAATTGTTCGTTCCCCTTTCCCACAGTGAGATAACACGGAGCATCCTCTCGGGTTTCTTTGTCGCTCTGTTCTGCTCTGACTCTGCTTCCTGTCAGACGTACTAGTGCTAATATTAGCTAACCACGTCTCTTCATAGTGAGACTAAAATTGGCATTTTCAATTTGGCTCCATCCGTCAATCAAACCATCCGTCAGTTCACATCCCAAACCTCAAGATGAAATTAAACGAGCTCCGAGCTGAGGACGAGGAACAAAACCTAAAATGATCGCTGCCAAGAAACTTTTTCCTGTCGTTTGTTCATAATAGTTATTTATAAATTCAAAATTATATATATTAACATTATTATAAATTATAAATTCATGTTCGTTTTTAAAAAAAACGAATCCTTAATAAAACAAGTTGTTTAAAAATATTCTATATGATATGATTCTATATGATGTCATTCTATTTAGGCCTTAATATAATTTCTGCCTTGTAAAGCAATAATTATGTTACTTTATAATTAATTAATATCTTCTCAGAAGGAGTGACTTCGTTTTCCTGCTGCTGAATATAAAGAAACTATAATCTGTGTTTAGATCATTCTCCAACTCATTTTATTTGACCTAAAACAATGTTAAGCCATATCAGTTGAAACTTTGAATTTTAATTTTAAAGAGGAGTTTATGAACCCCCTTTTTTGTCCGTTGCAAACATTTTGTTTTAAAAAGTGTCTTACCTGAGTTAAATAGAGAAGATGGATTCACATGCAAACCAGCTTTACAGTCTAAATCATCATAATGCAACAAATTATCACAAACTAGCCGTTTTTAATCATAATTATTAAGTTTAAAAAACAAATTTACAAACGTCAGATTGACTCTTAGATTGAGTCTGCACTTAAATGTAAAATTAGGTTATATGATATTTGAATTATCCAGCTTAATATTGAGTAACAAGACAGTTGTGTAACAAAGAATTCATCATTACAACTAAACGGATTCTAAATCACACTGGGACAGATTTTAAGGAAGACCTTTTCCCAGTAATTCATCTGTTATTGTGACATTTTAAAATAGTTTTGTAGACTATAAATCCCGGCGTTTCTGCAGCGTCACAGATGAACGCTACCAGGAGCGCTTTGTCACAAGAAGAGCAGTTTCCACATCACGTTCACCTTGACGTGCATCACTGGCACATGTGCACGTGCACGAGCTCTAATGGGAACAGTAAGCACAAATAAGTTTTAAATATGGAAAGGAGAGCATCACACACCTCATTGATTCCCTTTTATTGCCAAGCAATGGCCCAGCTGCAGTTTGTTTGCTTTCCACTTTTCCAAGACTGCAGCCAAAGCTTCTCCTGTGTTAGTTCAGTGAAAAAGCAGCAGAGTAACAAAGCAGATGGGAGTTTTTACAGTGAAGTGCTCTTTTACTGTCATTGGCACTTATAGTCATTTTATTTTAATGTTCTCTGTCCCTTTTAAAGCCATTTGTAACGTGTTACCCTACATAAACTGTATACGGTTCATACATTTTCAGTCACACATGCTTTTTGTTTTTGTGCTTTTTCCAGACAGCAGTTGTCAAACGTCAATTTTGAGTCTCCTCCAATATCGCCAAAGACCCCAGCTTCTGTTGTCAAATGCAAAACTCCCAGAGAAGGGGGGCAGAAATCCAGCAGCTCCATTTTAAGTAACTTTTTTGTAAAGAAGCACAGAACGCCTCCGAGTAAAGTAACTCAACACGAAGTCCAGCGGGGGGATGCACGAGACACACGAACCCTTCACCCCAATGACTCTGACCTACATTATGGAAAAGCTCATGTTTCAGTGGTGGTTAAAGAAGAACCCATTGATGTGGAGGACACGTCTACGAGGGGTTTGACGTCAGTGAAACTGGAGGACACGGCATCACACAGTCAAAGTCTTGGATTTGAGATGGCGCATTCTTCGTCGCCATCAAAAGATGTGAAGCCCATGATCAAAGGTGAAGCCAGTTCAGCCGAAGGTTTAAAGCAGTGCATCACACAGACAGTTTTGCTGCTTTTTAACACTTTTACACCTATAAAAGCACTCAAACCTAAGTGGAAGCTAAAGTAATAGAGAGGCGAAGTTAAAGCTGTAGACGTAGAAGCTGTTGAGGTTGTTTGTGGACTACAAGAAGCAAAAGACACGGCAAATTTGACATTGCTAACCTTTAGAAAATGGTGCTTTACGTAACTTTTTTTAAATCTAAAACACCCAATAACACTTTTCTTTTTAAGCCATTTAATTTTTGAGTGCCTGTGGAGTGTACAAAAGTACACAAAGTACTTGTTTGGAAATCACTGCAAAACACAAAAACAACATCAAATTGTTTAAACTTCTGCATCATTTTCTCGGCTCACATTGATCCCTTTGTTGCTCACCTTTCTGTTGATGGTGGGTGATGGAGTTGAGTGATAAATATTTTATGTTTAAAAAAAAAAAGGGAAGCTAATATTTTAACTTTTTTTTTTTCAATTTTTTATTGTATGAATAATTATTTGGTTTGAACATTATGTGTGGTAAAGTTGCTGCTATATAAACATGATGTTCTTCAATGAAAGGATTTAGACAGTAAGTGTTGCTGGTTTTAAATTTGTGATGTTCTGGGATCAGCTAATTATTTCCTTTGAATCTATAATCGGGATCCTGCTGTGGATATAATTTGTGTTAACTCTTTCTGATTGACTAAGCTGTAGCGGCGTAATGAGTCTCGACTCCCAGATCCAAAAGTGGGTGATTAATGTTGAGTGTTGATTAAGATGCTAACGACTTCTTCATATTCATCTTTTTATCTTCCAGTTGAGTGCCCTGTGTGTTCTGTGAGCGTGCTGCAGCATTTCATCAACAAGCATCTGGACACGTGTCTTAGCAGCGGGGAGAAGAAAGACAGCCTGAGGAGGTAAAATATCCACTAAAGTCATCACTTGAGCAAATATACGTTTTTTTTTTCTTCAGACTTTTGATTTTAATTCTCAAAAATTAGTCAAATAAAATTACCAGTACTTGACTTGCCAGCAAGACACGTGCGGTTCTGTTTGTTTGTCACAGAATTATTATAGGAAACTGTACAGAAGAAAAAAAAAATAGAAATTAAACATTTGTAATGACAATAGCAGGGGGCCAAAGAGGCTAAAATCCAAGCCTTTACTCTTTAAAACATAAAATTGTACTGCCTATGATAGCAGATACTTGTTAATACAATCTAACATTTGTTATGACCTGACACTGATTGTCACAATGCAAATATTCTGCAAACATTTTAAGCTTTCTGTAACACTATTATGAATACAAACCATCGGTCACAACATTAGTCTCAAATTTGTTTGCATCTCTTGGTGGACCCTCAGGGTATAAACCTGGGACTGTTTGTGGGGGTTATGTGGAGACTCACACTTGGACTCTGTCTGAAGCCACTTTCAGAAAATGGTTCTGTGATGTCACAAAAATGAACCCCTTTTTAAGCCCTCTGGTTGTTCATAGATTACAAATTGAGCTGGCTGCATCCTAAATTGATTGTTCTTTCGTCAATGAATTATAGTAGGCGTGGAGCGATAGTGACTTGCTTTTCCTTGGTAAATTCTGCGGCTAACTGGTTAGTTAGCTGGTTAGCCTGCTTGTGCAATCACTATATCACAACTTTGAGCCTCAATGCTGACTTCTTTTCATGAACTGAATGTTATGTTGAGTCTCCTTTGACAGCTCAGAGACGTAACAGCAGCGGGTTGACTTCATGGTGCCTTGACCCTTCTATAAATCGCACTGAGACTAAAATGCAGAAAGGTGACGGATGTTAAAATGACAACCATGTGAATCTGGTGCTCGTCAGCAGAGCCTGTGATTAGATATACCCTCGCTACTTCGCGGTTCGTTTTTCGCGGACTCGCTCTATCGCGGTTTTTCAAAATAAGAGTGGACATGACACACAGTTGGCTGACTGATGGATGAGCCGCATGATCGACATGGGATTTTTATTTCAAATAAATTATTTTAAATTATTTAGCACCTGCTGCACATTTGTGCATCCCACATGCAGGAGGAGCTGAAATCATGGCATTCTGTGCTCTTTTTCATTTAGAGTTTAAAAACATGGTTTAGAATATTGCAAAAACTACTACTTACTACTTGTACTACTTTTCCTACTTCGCGGTTTTTCACTTATTGCGGGGCTTCAGGGTACGGATCCTCCACGAGGGACTACTGTAGTGTTGTTATGTATTAATATGACCATATTATTATTATTATTATCAGGGTTTTGTATCAGCAAAATTATACATATAGCACATCCACAACATTGAAAAGTCAAACTGAACAAATTCATTCATACACTGATGGGACACACATTGGAGGAGATGAGGGGTTCAGTGTCTTACCCAGAGACACTTCAGCATGTGACTGCTGGTGGAATCGAACTCCTAATTCTTGCATTGGAGGACGACTGATTTAACCACGCCCCATTTGATTTACTTCATTGATTTGAAAACAAAGATTTGTTATGCTAAGTTGTGTTTAAAATGGATATCCCTTGATCAAAACATGCTGACTGCTTCTATTAGCCGCACAAAACAGGTTTGTTGCGTTTCCTGTCTCATTATTGACAAGAAAGGTCAGAATCATGTTTGATGTGAAAAAATGTGGTATTGGTGACATTTTTGGTCAAGTTGTTCAGGCCTTTGGTGCGCACCTAAAGTGTGTAGAGATATTGAATCATCATCACATGTCTTGGCTACAAACTTGAAAATCATATTAACTTTAAACTTGCCCTTGTTTAGCTGTACGTTCACCTAACTTTCACTTTGCCTACTTTGTGTTCTGTCCTTTGTTAAAAAAACAAACTTTCTACTGCTAGTGCATTTGTGGTAAAGTCAAAGACCTCATTTTTGATGTTTGCTGAATAAAAATGGGGTCTTTGACTTTATTCAAAGCATTGATCTTTTTGAATTGCCCTTGAAACTACTTTTCCTGGGGGTGCTTGATGTTTTGCCCTGCAGTGCGTTTGATTTGTTTAGCTATGCAAACCATTCAATTATGATTCCACGTGTTAATAGTCTCGTTCCGTGTCACCATTCTTTTGTACCATTTTAATGCATAGAGTTGCATATTTGATCAACCTCACTAATAGTTTGTCCTTTGCGTGTTAGCTCCAAATATTTGCATTTAACAGTCAAAGATTGATATGCAACTAAGCAGAGAGATCCAGGAATAGGTGCATAAAAATGTGTTAATGTAGTTTTAAATGTCTGTCTGTTTCAGCTCTCTGAGTAAGAGCAGACGACCGATGGCGAAGCTGGTCTACAATCTACTGTCAGTTCAGGAGCTGAAGAGGAGGTTGAAAGATTGCCACCTGTCAGTGCAGGGTTCTCGGGACCAGATGATCAAAAGGCACCAGGATTTTATCCATTTATACAACTCCCAGTGTGACTCCCTGAATCCTAAAACAGGTGAGAGGACATGGAGTGTATGAATAAAAGAAACCAGTTTTATTTGCTTAAAAACCTTAAAAGTGAAGTGGATAACAGAGTGTTTAAAATAGATGTGGTTAATTTGACATGTTTATTTTCAACCATTGTAAAAAGAATTGTTTGGCTGCTTCACCCAAACGACTTCACTTGAACTTGACCCGAAAGTCCCAGGTTCGATCCCCAGTCACTGCACATCACGTGGCGTCTCTGGGCAGCACGTCTCATCCCCAAAATGCCTCCCGGGCGCTTTCAATAGCTGCCCACTGCACCACCTGGTGGTGGATGGGTTAAATGCAGAGACTAATTTCGCCATTGTATGGAAACATACAGTGCTGACATTGTGATGACATTATTATTATTATTATAGAGAAGCCGCCATCGTTGACAGGTTTGAGACAGGAGAGCATTAGTTACTGTCAGGCTAAACGGCATCATTAACACTTTCTGCTGGTGGGAAGTTATTGAGCTGCTCGGAGCTCTTCCCCTGAATGATGGTCTCTGAATAAACGGCTATTAAAAAATGGAGTTGAGAGATTAAAACCCAGAATATTTTCCACCCAGTCTGCCGACCACGTCATGAAGTACAGCTAAATGTCAAATGTTTAAAGATGTGGGGGAACTTTGGCTAATTGTGTTTTGTTGGAGCATAAATACTATTTATGTCCATCAAACATTTTATTATTTTTCATTAACTCTTTTTAAGAAATAAAAACAAATTATCACTTGGAAGTTATCTGATTTTAATATAATAACTTGTTCGTATGAAGATACGAACAGATTTTTGCTCCTTTTTGCTCCCCTGGTATACCTCAGTTTGCTGCCTCATAGATTCAAAGCTTTGATCAATTTATTCAATACATTTTTTTTCTTCAACAGTTGAAGAGATCGCAAAAAAGGTGGAGGCCAACGAGAAGTTACGAAATCATCTGCAGGGGAAATCAAAGCCTGTACGTAGCTATAGCTATTATAATGTTCTTTCTGTAGAGAAATGTGCACCGTATTTTTCGCCCTATAAGTTGTGTTTTTTTGCATAATTTGCATGCTCTGCGACTTGTACACCGAAGCAACGTATTTATGGATTTATCCCCATATTTATAAACCAATTTTTGACTTAGATATGACTGTTTTCATTCATTCTGACTGAACATATTGAACACTACCATTTTCAGCAGCTAGATGGCAGTCGAGTAATATGGCATGCCATTGTGTCATGTACTGTAATAGGTAAAAGTGGCTTTTAATGACACAATTGGCTTGCCAAAGTATCCATCGTCGTCCAGCTCGCTTGGAGCAACCATCAAATCAGCTTCATTTCGCTGCACCGCCATGGCGAAATGCAGCTGATTTGAGCACTGAAGTGCATTTATTAAGGAAAAGGTCAACTGAGACACACCTTTACTATAATGTCGAGCAAACAAATAATTGTTTTTAAGGTGATTATTTTGTTAAATTTAGAAAAAATGCACAGCGAGTCCTCCTGTGCAGCACCGGCTTCCGCGTATTGGCTTTTGAAATGCAGCTGATTTGATCTTCAAAGTGAATTTATTAAGCAAAAGTTAAACTGAGACACACCTTTACTATAATTTTGAGCAAACAAATAATTGTTTTCAAGTGTTAATCTTGTTAAATTCTTGTTAAGTCCTCCCGTGCACGCTTCCGCGGCTGCCATTTGGCAGCCCATCGATTTTTGGCACAACACCGGCCCACATTTCTGGGTTGTCAGCAGTGACGCATAATAGATGCGACTTATACCCCGAAGCGACAGATTTATGTATTTTTTCCACTTTATTAGACATTTTTGGACTGATGCGACTTATAGGGCGGTGCGACGTGTACAACGGCATTTTGTAAAATTTAAAGTAAAGTAGGTAACTGTATAAGCTGTTTTAACTTTCGCATAAAAAGCACTCACTTGTTAATTCCTTTACCAAGGTTTATTTATTTATTTTATTTGCTTACCAGTATGTTTATTTTTGACGAAAGCAAAACTGTTTCAACAAGTTTTGTGTTTAATCTATTCTCGTTTAGGTCTTGGTTTTCTCTAAGAATCAGTCCGAGAAGGAGATTGAGGAGATGCATTCAAATTATAGTGAGTGCTTTATTTTTTCTCTTTGTTAGAGCCCTCGGTGTGCTTACACTCATATAATTCTTACATCAAAAGTAGCGTGTTTAAACACTTCTTCCTTCCTGACATTGATCTTCTTGAATATGATGCAAGTGCCAAGAGTGAGTTACTAGTTGTTTTACAGGGAGGTGAATTCTTATTAAACTCATCATTTGGTCCACAAGTCTTTACTTTCAGCTGGAGTCTCTGTGACAACTGTTCTGATCTGTAAATGTGTGAAAATGTAAAAGAAAAATGCGTCCACATCAGGTTTATTTGTGTAGGAGTGACTGCAGACTAAACACAATCCTAAAGCATTCGAATATTAGCAGATGTTTGGATCAATTTTAAGATGAACTTTCCTTTGGTTTGGTCCAAACTCTTAATCTGACAGCTAAAAATCAAGAACTATGAAGATCATCTGTTAATATTCTGCCATTACAAGGAAAGTTAATACAGATTGTAATGAATAAACTATTTTGGTAAGACCCTACAAGGAATTACTGAAGCGTATTGCTGTCAACAACAAAAAAATTTGAACACTGTCATGTTATAATGTGATAATTATATTGTACAAATATGATAATTAAATTGTACAAACGTGATCATTTTATCCAGATGGCAGTAGTAGGCTATGCTTTTAGCCTCCATGCTAGTACTTCCATATGAAGCTAGCACGATGGCTAATTTACAGATGTTGATGTAGTTTTACTTCAAGCTTGGCCTAAGACGTAGAGCTTCTGGTGCTGCTGCGCACTGTGGATGAAATCATCAGTATGAGGACTCTGAGAAGAATCACTGCGGTAAAGCCTTTCCCAGATTCAGAAACCTTGCTCTCGCTCAAATCCAGAGTGCTCGATTACAACAACTTTTATGGCTGAGCGGTACCTTTACAGCTGGGCTGTACTTGCGCTGTTGTGTACGGCTCCTGTTTAAAGGCGAATAACGTACAAAAAAAGCAAAATTTCACCTAGATTTTTTTAAAACTTTGATTCCACACATTTAAAGCATGTTTCTCACCAAGTTTGTGTAAATTCAGCTGTGGGGTTTTAAAGACATTTCAACTTTAATGTACTTCAACACACAGCGGCAGGTCGGCACTATTTGTGTTTATAGAGGAATTAAATAAAACAACATCACCCACCACTAGACTTTTTTACTTGTGTTCAACACTACTCTTCTTCCAGGTCTCTCGTGTAAATGAGTCCTCGTGGCTCGGTGGGACTAACCTCTTTAAATAAAGGTTGAATGAACTACTCATCTAAAGGATGTTTCTCACCAAGTTTGAGGACAATAAGGTGTGGGGTTTTAAAGAAATTGTGTTGCCACCCTCAGTCCTATATTCTTGACTTTCCTCTTCCTTTGTCTCCTGACACGTTTCCCTCCTCGTGGTCTTCGACTAATAGCACAATTTCCGCTGGCACCCTGGTTGTCAACAGCACCGGTGGCGGTCGTTGTTAACCTGGGCCTCGACCGATCCGGTATGGCTTCACTTTGATATACTCGCACGTCGGATGCCCTTCTTGACACAACCCTCACCATTTACCTGGGCTTGGGACCAGAACAAGAGATGCACTGGCTTGTGCTCCCTAGTGGCTGGTTTGAGTATGAGTATGTACTAGCATGTAGGCTAAAAGCATAGCCTACTAACGCCATCTGGATGAAATTATCACATTTGTACAATATAATTATCACATTTGTACAATATAATTATCATGCAATGTAATTATCACATAACGTGATAGTGTTCAAAATTTTATTTATTTTTTCCCTGAGAGCAATACGCTTCCATAATGCTTCCTTAAGGAATAGACAATTAAAAAAATTAAAAAAATGCCATAAATATAAATCTGAGTGGGCTGAGTACAGAGTGATATTTCCTCCATTGGGTTAAAAATCATAGAGTGATGCTGCTCAAAAGCTGCATCATTAAAGAGCTGCATCAGACAAAATTAAACCTTTACCACACTAACTCCTTTTATAGTTTTTGGAAATAAGACCATTTCCTCCACTTTAATCTTTTCACTTTTTTCAATACATATTTTAATGCATTTCATTTTTGTTGTTTTAGAGTTTTCTTTTAGTCTTAGTCTCTCTTTTGTGTCAGCACAAACAGGCTTGTTTGAGGCAATCGACTAAAAATGGTCTTTTATGTGACAGCCTCAGAACTGAAGATGGCACCATATTATTGATCAGGGTTTATTTTTGAGAATGCTGCACAGGAGGTAAGCATTGAAGTGCTACTTCTATTTTTCTTTTATAGCTTTTCTTTCTTCCTCAAGGTACATGTTTAATTTATAAAAGTGGGGTTATTTCTTCTCTGCTTTTTAATAAAGTAGGAACCCCTCAATTTAAATTCATTGTCATCTCAAACTTATGTGGCATTTCTCATGCAACGTTGCTGAACACAGATTTGAGTTCACAAAAACCTTAGAATTCATTCTATACTACAGAAATATGTCTCTCAATGACGATTTGTGACAGTTTTTTTTTTTTTTTCAAAGGCAGAAGCTTTTGTGTTGGATCATTGCATTTATTTTCAGCTCTTGCGGGCAGCTCATTCAATAAGAAAAAAATCTACAAGTTCATATTTTTCTTAAGCCTTATAGAAATGGTAGGATCTTCTGTTTTGAATAAGTGCTGCTGGGAATTAATCTGTTCTATTTGAAAAGCTGGATGTTCACTATAAGAATCATTTTATCTTTCTGACGGTGTCATTGCAGATTTTATATATTCATTGTTCGGCTTTGATCGCAAACAACTGCTTTATCCTAACTTCTGCAGAAACCCTCACCCACGCAATACAAATATATATATATATATATATAT